TTTCCAGGACTTAAAGGTACAATATGCAAGATTGTTTCGCCACCAGGGGGCGCTAACCTCTTCCAATATCAAAGGTGTATATTGATGACGTATATTCCGCATTAAGCGGAATTATGGATCTTGTCGTCAAGATGATGGATCTTTTATGGATGAGTGAATACTGTACAGTGATGTTTTGTGGTGCGAAGCAGGGCGCGATTGCTAGACGTATACCAGCGCCACACGCAACGCGAGTCCCGCGGATATAAAGGAATAAGGATATTCAATTCTACCGAACTAAACGCTGAATTACTCACACAGGTCAGTTTATTAGAGGAATTAAAACATCCACAGAAGAAAGAAAGCCGTGCAGGTTTGGAACGAGTGTGACATGAACTTTCACTTTCGGGTGGAGTATCCCTAAAACAGCGTACGGTTCAGAGGTCTTCTTTCTCACGTGATGTATTTGTTGTAAAGGACGAAGGCGTGCTCTGTGTTGCCCTCCTCGTCGTACACGTGTGCCATGCGGATCATCTCCATGCCTGAGCGGAAGTATCTGCGGACCGGCACTGCTTCGTTCATGTCCACCGAGCTGCCCTTCTTCGTCAATGCCCGCACTCGCTCCTCTGGGGTCAAACTCACGTCAGCGTGGTCCAACATTATCTACGCCTTCAACCCTGTGAGGAAACATCACAGTCAAAACACGACTTCTGAATGAAATATATGTTTATTATCACCCCAGCCATATAACACCTAAGTATTCGGCATCTTAAAGTGACAGGTCACTCAAAAGTGGGAATTCGGTCATCATTTACTCACCCTCATGTTGTTCCAAACGTGTATGAGTGTCTTTCTTTTGCTGAACACACACACAAAAAAAAGATATTTTAAGGAATGTTGGAAGTCAAAACAGTTGACGGTAGCCATTGACTTCCATAGTAGGAAAACTGTCTAGTTACTGACATACTTCAAAATATCTTCTTTTGTGTTCAGCAGAAGAAAGAAACTCATCCAGGTTTTGAACAACACGAGGGTGAGTAAATGGCAGAATTTTTATTTTTGGGTGAACTATGCCTTTAATTGATGTCAGAAGCATTTACATATAGAAGTCTTAAAGGTACAGTAGCAAAACAACGAGAAGGAGTACTACAGTCGTGTGAATTAAATATTTTAGTGCAAGAAACATTTACTAGAATAAAGGCCCGCTCACACCAAGAAATAACTATATTAGCATCCACACCATCGTACTGTTTATCGTTTTATCGCTGGATGAAATCGTTATGAAGGCGAGTTCGTTTCTTTGTGCTTTTAACGTTATATCTGTGGTGTGAACTCTGCTATTCTTTAATATTGAGAACGATATCTTGTCTTTTTCTATTATCTTTATTGTTATCGTGTAAACGGGCCTTATGCGTTGACCAATAAAAACCCATGTACATTTATTCATACACTAGTGATTATAATAATAAACTACTGAGTATGAACTATTACTGTGCTGCTTACAGAATGGATCAAATAAGGATGTGAAATAAGTGTTAAACAGGTGATATTTCCCATTCAAACACTCACATTATATATAGTTTTGCGTCATATGTAAAATACCCAACAGCTAAAAACGCCTTCATTGAGGGTTGTTATAGTATGTGTATGTTTATGAATATGTGCAGCTAGATGGCTAACGTTAGATTATAACGCTTTAAAAAGCCTTACCCTGGTAAGAATGACAGTCAGATCACATTCAAACTAACAGGGAAACCCGTCCATCGCCTTCAGCTGTATTTGATGAGGAATAAACAGCGTTAAAGTAGTGTCTGTAGCTCTGTGTCCATCCTTGATCTCAAACACACCCTCGCTTCCTCTTCCTGTGTGTGTGTAAAGCTGATCTCAGATCAGTGTTGTCTCCCTCCACAGGCTCGGGAAGGTGTTCATGCTCGCTGACTGATCGATCACATCAGGGTGTGTCTGTTAATCTGTGACTGACTGATAAACTGTTTGTTCACTTACTGCCATTAAACCAGGAAGCATTCGTATTAATCATTTATAGGATATTACAATTATTATTATTTCTACTGTTATAATTCTTATTGGTGCTGTTGTTGTTGTTGTTAACGTTACAAATAATGTTATTAAACGAAAGATAGTATAAAAGAGGCATTTTGATAGAAACGTTTTGTTTAAATTAATTTTGATATTTCTTATTTAAATATATTTTTTAAGTGCCATTAATGTTAATTACTAAAACTATTGTAATTTTTTATTTTGACACTTTAGTTGATAATAATTCATAATAGACAAAGCAGAACCCTAGTAAAAGAGATTCATCTGAAAGGGAAAATGTTATTCTATGACTTATATACACAAAATAAAACAAATTTTAATTGAATGTCATAACAGAAATACCATGAATGCAAATTTAATGATTACACAACTAACCTTTGGGATGTCTTAAATGTTGATCTTATTCATGGAAATCCAGAATAATAACCCACTTAATTACAATAAATATTTAAATAATAACACTATTAAAAACTACACTGAGAAAAGGAAAATCGCTGCTTGTTCAAATTACTTATAGGCTACTACAGTACATTTGATCTTAACTTAATTTCAGTGTGTTCAATCCACTTAAATTTGGACAACATGAATGATTTTTGTTGCGTTAAAATGTTCAGTTCAACCAAAAATTAAAGTTCTGTCATAATTTACTTAGCTATTTTTTTTTTACATTTTGTCATTTCATCTGAATATCAACATTGGTGAGATGTAGTCAGTCGAAACAGGTTTTTGAGGTTAAAATAGTGATCTATGACTCTGAATTATGTTTAATAGCAAGGTATGTTTGTTAATGAAAGATTTGTGGACAGATCAGTATTTTGGATTTGTGAAGTAACAGTTATAGTTTTTATTTTGAAGTAAAAAGATCAAATTAGACCACTGGGGTAAGATGGTCCACCAGAATTGGCAAAGAAGACCCAAAGTGGCATACGGCTTGACTGTCACCGTCCCAACAATAATATCTTAGTAAATACTTTAAATAATATTGACAAACTATATATCATTTGAAAGCTTGCAATCTCTAGTTTCCATATTTGGTGACTGATTTTCAAAATAAATTACAGAGGAGCCATAATTTGTAACAAGAATATTTTCTTACTCATAAGGCGTGTTCAAACCTTTATTTAAAATAGCAGTGAACATGAAACATTTTTCAAAAAAGTTTGAAATATAAAGAAAAAAACTCACCATTCGTGACTTGGCAGCGAGCTATGACTTACATGCATGTTCTTTGTTTGTGTTTCTTAGAGGTTGAATTCATATCAAAATCTGCCAAACTTCCCATATTACTTCTGAATAGGATCTCTACTTCATAAATTGTGTGAAATTGTGTAAATGATGGTTCAAGGGCGCCCTTATATGGGCAGTAATGGAGTCTGGTTGTGTCCTAGTGGAAAAGTGTGGTACTGCGCCCAAACAAAATCTCACAGAAAGCTCATTTTTTGAGATATCAACCTAAAATTTTAAACACAACTTGTTTAGATTTGTGGCTTTGATTTTTCCACCATTTTTGATTAGCCCAGGTTTTGAAAAATATATATTTTAAGTAAAATATTAATAATTAATATTTTTACATTACACATTTCCACAAATTCAAACTTCATGAACTTGTTTTCTGTTTCACTTTCTTAATTTTTTTCACGTCTACAAAAATCTACCAAATGTCGTCTTTAAAACAAGACCAATCATGTGTCTATATTCCAAAGCATTCTTGAATTACAACCATTTAAGCTTGAAATGTGCATTTCCATGTCTATTCAAAAAAGGGGGGTGACAGTTTACAGATGAATTATTTTAGTACTTTATATAAAAGAACAAAATGAATATCACATTTGTTTTTTCAGTAAATTATTCAGTTATTTTATTTCAACCAATGAAGTTTTTTTTTATTGTTTTGTTAACAATAACCGTATATTCATGTGACAAAGACGACTCAGAACCAGAAAAAAATCAAACCTTTATTCAATTTCCTTTTCCATGTAGAAAGAATATCACTTGTGTAAAGGTTGGAATAGTGGTAAAAGACAGACCACAGTAAACAGGCAAGTTACACCCCGTCACATTCGATACCCACATAAGAAATCAAAATACCTCCTTCATTTCAAGAAAAATGGTTAAACGTCAAATCACAGTCTCCACAGAAAACACAACGGGCATCACAGTAGGCACAGCGAGAGAGTGATAGCTTATAACATGGCACCCGATAACATACCCATTTCCCGTTTTTAGGATCAAGAGGTGTACTATGCGTATCTGTCCTTTTGCTACTCGTTTCTGGCCATTGTCTGGATTTGGCACAAGAATCTCGTCAGTGACTCGCTCCGTGAATCAAGCACGGGTTACTACTACACACCACAAAACATCTTCAAATGAATCAGTGGCTGCTGAAAAGAACAATAAATCAATAAGATTGTGGTTTCTTCATCAGCACCAAAGCTTTTTGGTGAATGAAAAGTGCAAGTTGTCACAATCGGGGCTGAAGGATTTAAAAGTGGCGACCTTTTGGACATTATAAAAGGTCTTTTTTTTTGCTTTAAAACATAAATAATAATTTCCATAAATAATGTACTTTTTCACTGTTGGAATGTTTAACGGAAAATATAAAACATCTCTCTGACACATCAACATAAAATATATAAATATATATATATTGTGCTAAGCATCCAAATTAAACGTTTGAGTTTACATAATATATGCGTGATGTGCATTATTTTATATATTTAAACACTAACATATGCATGTATATATTTAAGAAACATTTGCATTTATCTATACATCATTTATATTATACATATATTTATGAATATTTAATTTATAAATAACCCGTTTTTCTTAAATATATACATGCATGTGTGTATTCATATATACAAATTAATTATACACAATACACACACACATATTATGCAAGCTTTTATTTAGGATGCGATTAATCGTTGCCCAGCACTAATATTTTTCTTGTTAATCTGAACTGAAAACATCCTTATTGTTGAGCGTGTGTGAAGATGATTCATCATTCTTAGTGTGTAGAATATCTGTAGCGCAGATTAATAACTCCTTTACACATGTACACTGACAGAAAGTGCAATTCACACACCCTTCACGCGTGTGATCCGCTTCAAGAACTCGTACAGCACAACTCTGATTCAAAAATCATTCCCAGTTACCCACGAAACATCCACAACCAACACACTCTCAAAGATATACACGCAGTTTCCGTCTGTATTACACAACTCGCCCAGCTATAACTCGAGGAAAGAGAAAACAAACAAGGAAACTCAAGCAAAGAGGCTGGGGAAATAAATGGAAAGAGAGGACACAGACTGAACCGACATCTACAGTATGTACCGCTATAATGAACCTGATTTATGTATTTGTACCAGTAAATGAATGAAGCTCAGTTATCACGGCTCTATGTTTCCACCATACCTGACATGCTATGAGCGGATGAAGACGAGTTAGTGAGGATCTGCTGTGTTAATATACGTCGCATTATTAATAATTCAAGTTTCAAGATCACAGTTCAAATATTTCCATTCATCCCCTGCTGACTCGTCGGACTGCACTTTCTCACTGGAAAACAGAAGAAAAAAAAGAAACAATTGAAGAAAATTTACTATTTACAATGAGGTAAAAAAAATTCGACATTACAGGCGAAACTCGAAAAATTTTAATATCGTGCAAAAGTTCAGTAATTCAACTTAAAAGGTGAAACTAATATAATATATAGACTCATTACATGCAAAGTGAGATATTCCAAGCCTTTATTTGTTATAATTTTGATGATTATGGATCACAGCTTTTGAAAACCCCAAATTCGAAATTAGAATATTGTGAAAAGGTTTTTATATCTGTAATACATAATCATCAAAATTATTACAAATAAAGGCTTGAAATATCTCACTTTGAATGTAACGAGTCTATATAATATTTAGTAATAAATGTATTTATAATATTTATAAATTAGTATATTTATTTATTTTTATAATTAGAATAAATGTAGTATATTAGTAATATGCAACAGATAGTTAATTAGGTAACATTATGCGTTTTATATAGTTGCCATAGCCGAGTTAAACATGCATTCGGGTTGAATGACAAACAAGAGCATCCGGGATAAAGATAAGAAAAAATCTTTTAAAAATGTTGTTTACAACACATACTAAATTTATGTTGTTGTTTTTTTCATTTTCAAAAAAAAAAAAAAAGGTTACATTTAAAAATTCTCAAAAAAAAAAAGTTCTCCATAAATGTCATGTTGTGTAACCAAGAAGTGACATTTTTCTCGAACACCTTGCTTCTAAACATTTTCAAAACATGTTAGCAATATGCTAATTAACGCTAACAACATGTTAGTTCCTGCTAAAAATGCTAATACCATGCTAAATCATGTTAGCAATGAGGTAATACATGCAAGCAAACTGTTAATTCATGCGATCTAGCTAGCTAGCTAGCTTTTAAAACTACGAAACTTAAACTATTTCAAACTAAAAACCTTTTAAAACCAGGGCTGTCAAACGATTAATCGCGATTAATCGCATCCAAAATAAAAGTTTGTGTTTACATAATATATGTGGGTGCACTGTGTATAAACATTTTATATATATATATATATATATATATATATATATATATAAATACACACACATGAATGTATATTTTACAAAAAAAATATTTATATATAAAATATTTATATTTATAATTATATAAAATCTATATAAATTATATACGTGAAAATATATCATAAATATATACAAGCATGTGTGTGTATTTATATATACAAAATAACAGCCACATATATTATGTAAACAAAAACTTTTATTTATTATTTAATCGCGATTAATCGTTTGACAGCCCTAATTAAAACGTCTTCAAACTTTCAGGCCAAGCTTTCTCAAGCCAACTTAAAATTTCTCCACAAACTTTTTTTTTTTTTATCTAGTTTATACACATCAGTGGTAGAAACATGTTTTCCAGTCATCACACATATGAAAGTAGTTATCGAATAAATACTCTACTCACATGCTGGTCGAGTTTTTGGTAATCCGATGTTTTGGGTCTGCGCGAGCCTCTTAACCTCCGACCCTCAACGACAAAAGCAATGATCTATAGGAGAGGGTGAGAGGAATGATAGTCACTGGGTTTTAAAAGCAGCAGTAAACGCTCTCGATGAAGAAAGGCTCACTAACCTTGCGCTTGTTGTGACTGGCGATATAAAGCACCGCCACCAGAATGATGGCCGCCACCAGATAGGCGAAGAAGTGGCTGCTCTCGGCGCTCTCCTCGAACTCGTTATCCTCCTTCGCTTTCCAGTTCTTTTCCAGGACCTTGGGGTCAGATTTACCCAGTTCACCTGAAAGAAAATCACCAGTATCAGCATCGCCACCGTCACCCACATCTTGCTCAGTGTCATCTTCAGTTTTTCCCTCTTGGCTGCCCGGAGGAGCCTCAGATTCGGTCTGGTTTTCGTCATCCTCTTCATCAGAGTCGGTTTTATCCTCATCATCATCATCAGTTGTGTTCTGTCCTTCATCAACATTAGTTTCAGCTTCGCCATCAACAGTTTCTTCATCAGGTGTGTTGGGCTTCTCGTCAGTTTTTTCAACGAGTGGTTCATCGTCAGTAGGTTTAGAGTCCGTTGGTTCTCCCTCTTCAGGAGTCTTCTCTTTTATTGATTGATCTTCATCAGGATCAGGGATGTTTTGGTCACCAGCTGCTTTATTCTGCTCGGCTGTGGAGTGCATCTCTCCTTCACTTCCGACTTCATTTGTGCCTTCTCCATCAGCCGTTTCCTCAGGTTTGTCATCAGGTCCAGGTGTGTTTTTCTCCTTTGAACCCGCTTCAGGCGTTTTAGGTTCTGTTTCCTCATTACTAACGTGTTGGTTGACATCAGGTGAGGTGTTGTTGTCTGCATCTGTCTTTGCAACTGCAATACCTGGATCTTTACCATCACCAGCAGCATCATCTTTATTTTCAGGGATATTATTTGATGTCATTGGATGCTCATTGGCATTTGCTGCGGCCAGTAAAGTGGTGCTTTTATCAATTGAGCCATCAGGATCATTATTTGGCAATGGATTTGAGAAAACTGAAAAATACCACAAGAGAAAGAGAGAGAGAATCATATTCATATTGTGGGCCCAGCACGCCCTTTAAGCCGATAGCATCATCAAAACACACAATGAGGGAACATCTTTTGGATGAATTGTGAATTCCTCAGACTTAAAGTCAATTGAATCTCTGAAGCTGTTTTGGAGTTTTAAAACATAACTAAGACACTTCCTGTTGCTTTTTCTTTTAATTTGCGACTTTTAATTTATTTTAAGTCTGTGATTTTTAACTTACTAAGAAATACATGATGACTTCCCTGCTGAAAGCCCTCTCAGCTAAAATATATTACAAATATTTTTTAAAAAGATAGGGCTGTGAAACGAATAATCGCGATTAATCGCATCCAAAATAAAAGTTTGTGTTTACATCATATATGTGTGTAGTGTGTATAATTAGTGTATATATAAACACACGTGTATATTTAAGAAAAATGTGTTATTAATATATAAAATATTTAGATTTATGTATAATATTAATTTCGTATAAATATATAAAGTATATACATGCAAATATTTCTTAAAATATATACATGCATATGTGTGTATTTATATATACAAAATAATAACACACACACATATATGATGTAAACACAAACTTTTATTTCGGATGCGATTAATCGCGATTAATCGTTTCACAGCCCTATCTTTTTAAAAATATTTGTAATATATTTTAGCTGAGAGGGCTTTCAGCAGGGAAGTCATCATGTATTATTTTGGATGCGATTAATCGCGAATCATCATTTAAACGCTCGAGCTCGTCACAGCAGGATGGATTCTGATTGGCTGTCAGTGTTTTTATCGTAAGTGATATAAGTGATTCCAACAATATCGTTTCTCTATAACTCTGCTATTCAATTAAGAACGATTTTTAGAACTATATATTTAGCCATCTTAAGTCTAAATGGCCTTAAGCTGGTTTAAGATGATTTTTTTTTTTTACTGGGAGACAGTTTAAACGAGTCAAGCTGGTTTTGGTGTTTTTTTCAGCAGGGTTCCCACAGGCTATTTTAAACACGTCGCAAGTTCGCAACGTGTTAGAATGGACTCTAACAGGAACTCAAGACACTCCTTTATAATACACTAACAGGAATGTGGTTTAACCAGTGACACTCATGACCACCTTTGCAGCAAAACTTGCTGTCACAATTTATAAAAGTGGAAAGAAATTCGTATTCTAGCTGACTAAAAATGAGCAAACATGCAAAGAAATCGCACAGATTTCTGAACACAGTGAAATGATTCTCAAGTAAACACGTCACTCACGAGCTAACACGTAAACACGTCATTCTGTTAGTAATCTCACAAACATCATCTGACAAGCAGTGTAAGTAGAGGAACACACTAACTTACCCAGAGACAAGCAGAGGACAAATGAACACAGGGTTGTCAAGCGCAGCATGGCTTCTTTCAGAGATACTGTAATTCAGAGGCACGAGACTCAACCATACGGACTCAACTGAATGATGAAAGTGATTGAAAGCCAACGCACTTCCGGTTCAGAGAGCGACTTCCGTGTTTACACACACAGTGCGCGTGGTGAGAAATGACATGTGGACTGGACTTCCGTGACGGATCTAGTTGTCGTTCAGAACGAAAGGTAATTATATAAGGATCCTATTATAATAGTTTTTAATATAATGATCCTACTATCATAGTGATATTATATATTTTTGTTGTATTTTTTTTTCATGACATATGGTTCAATAAAAAAAAAATGTTCAGAATAGAGTTGAGATTGAGAATGACTTTTAAATTGCGATATGATTAAACGCTGCATGTTTGTATAGGTGCAGTTTTTACATTTTATACTTAATTGTTTACATGTCTGATGTCTTAATGCGTACCTAATTTAAAATAATGTCATAAATATAGAAAATGCCGTTATGTTTGATCACTTTTACTATCATTTGGGCCTTGGTAAAAAAAACACTTTATTTAGTAGGAAACTCTAATTTACTCTATATACTGGGAAGGCCGGGGCAAGTTGTCACAAGCAAGCTGAGTGACAGGATTATTATCATTAACTAAATCTAAATATTGGTTGAAAACCCTGAACTTAACGAAAATTATGAACGCTGCCTTGCCAATAAACTGAAATAATTAGCCCCGCCCTCTTGTTATCTTGTCTTCAAAGCGCTAATGACACCAGACGATGAATAAGGGTCTTCTAGGACCCTTCGAGTCATGATACGAAAAAAGATTTGTTCATTTTAATGAACGAGTTCGAACAGGACTTACGATTCACGAACACGCATCACAGAACAGAGCAAGGCGAGCATTCGTCCGAAAACTTAAAGTTTTGTATTTATTTTTGAAATGAGCGCTCGTTTCGCTTGATAAGACCCTTATTCATCGTCTGGTGTCGTTTAAAGCCCTTTGAAGCTGCACTGAAACTGTCTTTTGGACCTTGAACCGTTTGGACCCCATTGAAGTCCATTATATGGGGAAAATCCTGGAATGTTTTCATCAAAAACCTTAATTTATTTTCGACTAAAGAAAGAAAGACGTGGACATCTTGGATGACATGGGGGTGAGTAAATTATCAGCAAAAGTTTTTTTTTTTTTTTAAAGTAAACTGCTCCTTTAATAAACAAACAGGTAATCCAGGGCAAACCATCAGAACATGAACTCAGGACAGGAGCAAGAAACAGCTACACACAACAACGACTGACAACCAACAAGCACAGAGGTTTATACAGACAAACAAGCTAAAAAGGGGGCGGGGCTAATTAGAAACACCTGGAGAGACTAATAAACAAGAAAAACTACAAAGGACTACAAAACATGGCACAGAACAGGAAATAACTAAAGTCCACTCAAGACAAAGTAAACACAAGAGGAATCGTGACAAGATGGACAATGATGTGTGTCACCGGATCTGGGAAGTTTGCAGTGACTAACACACACAACAAATTTTTGTTTGACACAAAATCATTTTGCATATTTGCTTAATTATCTACATTACTTTTTAGTAACTAGATATTTTTAGGTTCAACATCAATCTTACATAGGCCTATACTAAATTATTTTATTTATAACTGTATCGTAAATGTTTGAACAATGTGGTGCCAAATGTGAAAAACTTAGACATACATTGGCAGTGGTCTGTTTCAGATTATGATAATAATAATTTTCCATTCCAAAGACAGTTTCCAAATAAATTAACAGTAATGTAGGCACTCTTGTTGCTAAATGAAAGGTTGACATCTGGACTGTAGAGGGCAGTATAAGACCACACACACAGTTATCAAAGGTTATCACAGTTCTCTCTCTGTCTCTCTCTGTCTCTCTCTCTCTCTCTCTCTCTCTCTCTCTCTCTCTCTCTCTCAGACCCTTTCAATGAGGCTGTGCTAAACTTCAAATGCTTCATGTAATATGAATGTGATCTGTCAGTTGATTTGAATGACTGGTCTCATTCATCACTGAAGTGAACACAATGTTGGCGTTACTAAGAGTAAAAGTGACTGAACTTCAGCTCCACTGCACTGACTCTCTCTCTCTCGGGACGAAAGCATCTTGTCCTGCTGGAGAACAGAACCGACTCTGAATCCACAATGAGCCAGACTCCTCCAAACACAACGCCAAACTCAGAGACATGGCTTGCACGTGTTCCTGACAGAAGAAGAGCGGACGCCGTCCAGCAGATTTATCATGCTTTCTGGTGTCTCTATCACAGCAGATGTCCTCTATAATTTAATAACTCAACTGAAGGCTTTATGTTTCTCCAAGTCTGCTGTCTGGGTTCTTGAAAGAATAGTTTAGCCAAAATGAAACTTCTCTGCTCATTTAGGCTAGCGGTGTAGCGATACCCTCATGTCCCGATTCGATATATCACAATACTGAACTAATGATACGATATTATTGCGATACTCCAAGACATGATAAAAGGTTAACAACAAAATGTAGGCTACCGTTGATTTAAAATGGTGTATTACGTTGTGTGTAAATGATTAGTCTTTAATTTGTTGCTGGAAACCCAACGCACAAGACTATTGAGACACCACAATGAACATATTCATGATTCTGAAGCTGAAAATACTGAATTATTTTAGATGAACTGTCACTGACTAGATATATTTCAAATAATTTTACTGGTAAGATCAGACATTTGGCATTAGCAGGACTGCATTGTTATATATCATGTTCAACATTATATATAGTTTAATGTAGTACACTAAAACTCTGAAAACTTTATTTTGTGTGAAATATACACAATATAGTTGCACTTGCATTTTTGTGTTGCAATATATTTACACCAATATCATTTACTTACCCTCATCTCTTTCCTAACAAAACAAAAATCATATTTCTAGTTGTTCTTGTTATTTGGGAAAGTGCAGCGTTCACATTCTGCCTGATGCTTTTGTAAGAAAATCATTTGTGTTTTTGTAACAACATGAGAGTGAGTAAATGACCTTGTTTTTGTAAAACCACCACAAAAAAAACTCCTTTGTTTTTCTCTTCCCCGTTCAGACCAAGTGTGTGAGATTATCTTTTCCAATGTAAATATGATCTAAACCATTGGCCTAATCTTTATCTTGTATGACTTTAACGACTGCCATGAATGATTTGTTACAGCGACCAAAGATCTTGCACAACATGCAAATCATGTTAATGTTAATCAATGTTTCACGAAACCCTGCAGCCTCAAATACTCCTAATGATAGTCCTGGCATTTAGTTCTGGAACGATCCCTCTTATTCCTCATCCGCGTTTCCTCCTTTAAGGTCAAATGGTCGTAAATAAAACATTAAGAAGAGGCAGTCTTGGGCACATCGCCAGGACAAACCTGTCTTCACCAACGTAATGTAATAAGAGAGTTGATCAAACAATCAATGAATATGTTATAAGCCTCACTGTAACTGTCAATCATATACAGCATCATTGTGTCATCATAGGTGATCAACAACTGAAGGAATGGACACACACATCTGATGAAGAGGCCACTCTATATATTTGTTCATTTATAAAAACCCACGTGTGAGAAAAATATTACGCTTGATATTACAGAGATAAAACTTTTTTTAACTAGCCTATTATCAATGTAAAATAAAGGGCCTATTATAATTGATATCAATTATACTTTGTATATCAATTATATAATGTCACTTAATTAAAGCGAAATTATTAAAATGTTGTGTTTTGTGTACCCATGCTGTAAAAAATGTATTGTTGGTTTAACTTAAAGTAAATAACCTGGTTGCCTTGACATTTTGAGTTCCTTGAAACTTTTTTTATAATATAAAGAAAGAGATTGGTGTAATTAAAAGTAACGGAAATATTACATTCACTGGACAACATTAATTATCTAGGTTGATTGATTTGACAAAGTTGCGATAATAAATCATGAGGGGCTAATGAGGAGTTGAGAAACCCTTGTTATAGCGATACCGCTGGCCGTTAAGTGAACTGCAGCTCGAACACACAAAACGCACACGAGAATGACCGTGATTCAAAGCCCAAACTAAGTTATTTTCGTTATTTGCGTAAAAATAATTTGGAAATAACGTTTTCGCGATATAGGCTGACTAAGTTCGCGAACGCGAACATCCAGATGACGTCACGCGGCTGAGAGCGACGGTTAGATGAATATGTGCTGCGATTTCCTCTCAATTACACAATAAACACACAATAAAATGAGAGCGATGAGAAAACAGCAGGTAAGCATCTGATTATAGTGATGTGAGTGTTTGTACCACCTCTGCGATTCATCTGCATCATGGCGAAGGTCATTAAAATTACACTAGTTCTGACGAAACGAGACTTTGTTGTATGACACATGAAGTTAAGATAGTTAACTTGTTTAATCATTGAACAAGTTAACTATCTTAACCACTAGGCTACTAACTGCCAGTCTGTCGAATCATTTTGATTTTCCCGGCAAAAACGTCGCGAGTCCCTTCACATAAAAAAACATCATCATGGAAGGTCTCGGTTTTTTTTTTTCGACACAAGCTGTCAAGCAATAAAAAACGACAGTTACATGCAAATTATGACAGGCAGCCCCTTTTATGTTAAAAATAGATTTTTTTTCAATAACTTGAGAACATTGACAGGCCTAAAAACAGACATTTTGTTAAAATATTTTTCTTTTCTCAGCCCTGAACTCTTTGAAAACCCCTAGTATTCATTTTGTATAATATAACCATAGCCTACTTTTCAAATAAATGTTTAAACTCTTTGACTGAATCATGCGCATAAATATCTTTAGGCTTCTGCATGCAATATATGTTAATGTAATTTATGTTATCCTATTGTTATTTTTCTGAGTGAGTTTGCATACACTCCTTTAATAATGTTCAAAAGCGCCTCATGATTTGGGAATTAACTCAAATGAGCTCAAAGAAGAGAATATTTTAAAACTTTTGACAGAACAAAATCAGTCTTTGTTCTGAATCCGCAAAGCTGAGAGCTGAAGGACAGTGAAAGGCATAAACTGCTCATGAAACGTCATTGTGCACCGTGTATGAATCCTCAAGATCAAGTCAAGTTTTTAGCC